AAGCACGGGGGAAGCACGGTGGAAGCACGGGGGAAGCACGGTGGAAGCACGGGGGAAGCACGGTGGAAGCACGGGGGAAGCATGGTGGAAGCACGGGGGAAGCACGGTGGAAGCACGAGGGGAGCACGGGGGAAGCACGGGGGAAGCACGGGGGAAGCACGGTGGAAGCACGAGGGGAGCACGGGGGAAGCACGGGGGAAGCACGGGGGAAGCACGGTGGAAGCACGGGGGAAGCACGGGGGAAGCACGGGGGAAGCACGGGGAAAGCACAGGGGAAGCACGGTGGAAGCACGGTGGAAGCACGGGGGAAGCACGGTGAACGCACGGGGGAATCACGGGGGAAGCACGGGGGAAGCACGGTGGAAGCACGGGGGAAGCACGGGGGAAGAGCAAGGAAAAGCTGAGGATTTGCGGTATGGCACTTTTAATGGCGTAATTCAGCGCATCGTGCCGGTAGTGACTGCGCATCGTGCCGGTAGTGACTGCGCATCGTGCCGGTAGTGCCTGCGCATCGTGCCGGTAGTGCCTGCGCATCGTGCCGGTAGTAACTGCGCATCGTGCCGGTAGTGACTGCGCATCGTGCCGGTAGCGACTGCGCATCGTGCCGGTAGTGACTGCACATCGTGCCGGTAGTGCCTGCACATCGTGCCGGTAGTGCCTGCACATCGTGCCGGTAGTGACTGCGCATCGTGCCGGTAGTGACTGCGCATCGTGCCGGTAGTGACTGCACATCGTACCGGTAGTGACTGCGCATCGTGCCGGTAGTGACTGCACATCGTGCCGGTAGTGACTGCGCATCGTGCCGGTAGTGACTGCGCATCGTGCCGGTAGTGCCTGCACATCGTGCCGGTAGTGCCTGCGCATCGTGCCGGTAGCGACTGCACATTTCAGTTCGCGTCGCGCGCGCCTTGCCTGTATTCTCACGGCAAATGAATTAGCGTCACATTCGCCACGTAATTAGTGCTGTAAAGGTTTTCTACGGATATATCCATCTAGGGCTTACCATTCGGAAAGCAATTACGTAAAAGCCACGTGCAGCATAGGCGTGAATTCTTTGATGCCGACTGTGTATGACGACACACCGCTAGCTAGTTAGCCTACTTAAGCATCACATAAGACACAAATGGATCGAGTATTGTAATAGAAACACTTTGATCAGTAGATTCCTATGTGAGTGCATGACGATAGGTAGATACAACATAGAGGTAAAATAGCAACCGCATGCTTCGCTGTTACTCGAAAAGGCAGTTTTTTCGGCCTGATAATATCAGGACTGTATAATTATAGATATATTATCATACACTCCTGATATTAGTATTCTTCGCGAAATGATTTTCCTGATGTGAGAGTAATCCATTGAAATGATTTCCAAAAGCTTCCTCGCTGCAGGGATAATTAATTTTTTCTCGACAACAGAATCAAGCACCACGCGTAGATACATGGCAGCAAAAATGTGACAAATATACTTTCGCTGATGCGACTTTGTCGGGCTAGTAACAAGATGGACATGTGTTTGGTTGTATAAAAAAACCCGCAAGCATTGCACACATCTTTGTGCCGATCACACGGCTACGTCATATCTAAGGCCCTGTACTGTTTATTTATATGCCTTTGAAGCTATACGTAGACTTATATTATACAGTTCGCTAAATTTCGGTGGCAAGCAGATGGAGATGTATCGCATTCTCTCAATAGTAAATAAATAGAGACGAATGTTCACTGACATTAACACTCTGATATCACCAATAGGGCTTGCTTGAAGCTCCCGCTTATGGTTTCAAACCCCATTCCAATCCTTGCTAGTTCAGCGGAAGGCCTCGAGGGCACATTTTCTGAGGCGCACACGTGCTAGCTTGCGAAAAGCTGGCTGAAATATTAACTGAAAGCTCCTTTGATCGCTGAGACGTATTTGACTCACCGTAATGAACAGTTAATAGCAAGAAGGCTATCGCATTACATTTTCCAGTACACTAATATTGTCAATTAAAGTGGGGAAGAGTAATAGATTGGCGTAACCTTGGAAAAAACGTAATAAGAAAAGCTTACGGGCTTGGAAATATGTCCCGCCTCCCCCGCGACCTATATATTTTTATTCTTATAGCGTTTCGCCTTTCCCCCCACTCTCTTCCGCTTTCTCCTCGTTTCTCTCTTTCTCTCTCTCTCTCTCTCTCTCTCTCTCTCTTTCTCTCTCTCTCTCTCTCTCTCTCTCTCTCTCTG